TATTTTTTTGTTGTGATTCTAGTTTGGTGTTGGTGTCGTAGTGTGCTGGTCATTCTAATTTTGCTAGTTGGTATTCTATCTAGGTTATATGAGTTTTGTGTGTAACCTTCCATTTCCCTAGCTTCGGGTTCGCATATGAACATTGTCTTTTTGGCCTTTTTTTATGAATATGTTTATGGCATTTGAAAAAAAATAATAATAATGATGGGTTTATGGCATACCACTTACACATGTAGACTAAATCACTTATAAAAAAATTCGTATGATTCTTATCGGCAATAGCGCGCTAATTTATCCACTGAATTTAATAAGTTTTTTGTAAAACAATACACCCTCAATTAAGGTTGTAACATAATTGAATTTTTTCATTTGTTTGAATTTTATATTCGTGAAATTGGAATAAAATTTTAAATAAAAATAAGAATCCGAATTCAAATTTACACATTCAATTCAAAGTTATTGATATTTTATATTTGTTAGTAATAATTATACAAAAATTAATATATTATATAAAATATAGAATCTTATTCATATAATATGTAAAAATATATATTAGTATTATATATATATTAATATATCTATATATAATTATATTTATGTGGCTAAAAAATTCTTTAAATGATTTCGAGTCAAATTGAATTCTATAGTAAATTAAATAAAAATATGAATTCTCAAATATTATCAAATTAGTATTCTCTTTCATTCGATTCATTCCAACAATAATTAACTACATATAATAAATAGCAAAAATTTTGTAATATGTTGCGCCACTGTATTGCATTAATTATAATTATAATTCAATAGCCATCTTTGATAAACCTAAAATGAAAAATTAGCTATTAACTTATATTTTTTTTTTTTTTTGAGATGTTAGAATATTACTTGTGAGTTGTCCCACATTGTTAATACATGGAAAATAGACCCACTTAATAAGTTTAATGGGCTACTCCTCCTTTCACCAATTGGTTTTGGGATGGAACCCCACTTGGGCTTCATATGAGCTTTCCACTTTGTGTCTGGGTTAGAGACATGATATCAGACTCACAAGTGAGGGGGCGTGTTAGAATATCACTTGTGAGTTGTCCCACATTGTTAATACATGGAAAATAGACCCACTTAATAAGTTTAATGGGCTACTCCTCCTTCCACCAATTGGTTTTGGGATGAAACCCCACTTGGGCTTCATATGGGCTTTCCATTTCCCCCAATTTCTTACATGGTATCAGAGCTCACTTTGTGTCTGGGTTAGAGACATGATATCAGAGCCCGACCGACTTTGTGTCTGGGTTAGAGACATGATATCAGAGCCCACTTTGTGCCTGGGTTAGAGACATGATATCAGACTCACAAGTGAGGGGGCGTGTTAGAATATCACTTGTGAGTTGTCCCACATTGTTAATACATGGAAAATAGACCCACTTAATAAGTTTAATGGGCTTCTCCTCCTTCCACCAATTGGTTTTGGGATGGAACCCCACTTGGGCTTCATATGGGCTTTCCATTTTCCCCCCAGTTTCTTATAGGAGGATGAAACCCCACTTGGGCTTCATATGAGCTTTCCATTTTCCCCCCAGTTTCTTACAGGAGAAACACCTCAGGAGGATGAGAGATTAAGGCCGGATTCTCAACTTGTATATAGTCAAGTCCCTAATCAGACCTAATAACTTATAAGTTAGCTAATGATTTATAAGTCGATATCGAACTTATAATTGATAGTTTATAAGTGATGGTTGAAAAACTAA